TGGTTTAGAATAGTTTCATTTCATAATCGATATATTCATAGACTAGGCTAACTGTTAAAAATATCGTAATTACAATAAAAACAAGTAGTGGTAGTGAATTAACGGAAAAGAACCGAAATATTTAACAAACCGCTTAATTGGTTTCCAAAGTTACGGTACGTGTTTGCTCGAGGTTTTGTTTTAAAATAATTTAAAAACTGTTATTTAAGGGACTGTTGTTATATTCTAATACAATGAAATATATTTTTCATGACGATTCTGGATCTGGGATCTTATCCCATCCTCATGTGAAAAAATAGAATGTAGATTCTGAAACACCACGAACACATTTTTACTAAGCGTGATTTCAAATGTCTGCAAACATACTCAATTCAATCAAATAATATTCGCTCAGTTTTGAGCTCATTGTTAATTTGACGTTGATTACGTAAATATTGAATTGAGTTACATCTCAATTATTATGTAAGGCGGCTGGTAATTTTAACTCGCGCCCCCCTTTGCACTAAAAATAAACAATCATGTGACACCCACGATGTTTGCCCATCCCTCAGTACGTGTGCGCGACTTATTGTAATAGATTGGTTAGTATCACCTGATGCTAGATGACACATACCAATTGTCTTGCACAATCGGTCCCGAAGCGGACGGAATATTCTTCAGCTGCGGGAAAATTGCTGCAATTGAGATAATTGCAGACGCTCTCACAACTTGCAGTACGTCAGTGTTCATTGGACGTCACGGCTTGGCGATTTTTATTGGGTGTTGGACGTTTGTCTTACACCGTATTTTTATCAATAGCTGTAAAAAAAGTTTTTTTGTATTTATGATATAAAAATTTGAACGTATGATTTAATGATATAGCGCAGAACTTGTGTCCTTGATTAGCTTGCTCAAATCCCGCCAATCACCAATGGAAATTTCCTACTTGAAATACTGTGAGCTTGTGAGTTCGGAGCTTAATATTAAAATGTATCTTGCGAAATCCAGATGGATGTTCTTCTGAACGAGGTTATTGACTCGTTCTTATGCAGGAATGTATTTTCGATTCCTGGAACGGGATATCTGCACGAATTTGAGGGGATAAAAAAAATTTCTTTGAAATCTTTACTCATTCGAACATAAAATTAGCTTAGGTATTAAAATACATGCATGAGTGTGCTTGCTAAAACTGAAACCTCAAGCCTAGTGACTAATGGAATTCTCGTTGATAGTTAAGTCCATCAATCAAGCTACGATGATTGAGCTTCCGGAAATCTGTTTTAGTATGAGATTTGTTAGATGGAACAAAACAATCTTGTAAGTGATCATGGTCTAAATCCTGATGTTTGGAATATCTTGATAATCACAACCGTTCCAATCGCTAACCACTAGGCTAGCAACACAACCAATTTTTTGTTACAGTTAAAATCTAAACTAGAGCTTTACGTCAATAGCGCTTAGCAGTAGTCATTATAGAAACATTCCTCATGCGTTTAACACAGATGTTCAGTTCGAACATGTTTTTCTGGTTAGCCTATCATAGCGTTGTCTTTCTATCGTGCATTCGTTCCTTCCTATGGTCCACATAACTTAAGTTATCTTCGGGACACTTACCCACCATAAAATAGCAATTGAGTCTTTGTAGCATTTATTACAATTTTCACGTGCTTTATCTTCTACAGTTGAGACACAATACATTCGATATTTAATACGAGACACCTCTTTGCCGGGTTGACTGAGTCATTAACAAGTCAATGATGGAGTGAGATGTGGTAGGCCTACGTTTTTATGCTTTAGACGTGAGAAGGCCGCTAGTAGGCCTACTAGGTCATGGCCTGTCTACAATTGGCAAACGCCTCACTAAGCGATTCGCAATGTTACGCCAAACTACTTGTACATAATTGTTTCGGGGTGTCCGAGCTCCCCACCCGGTAAAGAACTGATTCGTTATCTGTAGAAAAATCACCAAGTTTTTGCAGACCTTATCAACGTTGACTTCGCGAAGGCTATTAGTAATTGGTCCTAGTATTTAATTAAACCAGTTTTATCTTGCAAGATATGTCTGTAAATCATTTTAAACCGTCCAAATTACCTTTTATCTTTAACACCTAACCGAACAATTAATTAAATGTACAGTTGGTAACAAAATTTTAAAAAGTGCAGACATACGATCTTAATATCTCTCGTGTGTTTACAACTTACTTCATAGTCCATTCATTAATTAAACGTGTAACCCGTGCGATTCAGTGTCAGATAAATAAGATTCTACTTTAAAATCGAACGTGATCACCATTACAAACAATAAATGACAAATAATAAATTTACCATAAATTAAAATTCGTGAATAATAAACAGTTATAAAATGTTAAAATATAATTACCCAAGACAATATTAACATTTATCATATATGATGGTATTCTAACAACCAACACCATATAAAATATATATTTTATTTTTTGTCTGTGATAACACCAAACGTAACAGATTTGTCATTTGTAATGTAACTTGGTCAAAGAATCATATATAATATGTTCAGTGATAGAACGATAAGTGGATATAGCGTGACAGGTAGGGGCATATAGGGGCAGACTGACCTTGTGACATGCAAGCTACGCCTGACAATACCTCAGGACCCCACCTTTGGTATTCTGTTATTCTCCGACAACACCCCCAGGATCCTACTCTTGGTACTCTTGTTATTCTCTGACAACACCCCAGGACCCCACCTTTGGTAATCCGTTACTCTCTGACAACACCCCCAGGATCCTACTCTTGGTACTCTTGTTATTCTCTGACAATACCTCAGGACCCCACCTTTGGTATTCTGTTATTCTCCGACAACACCCCCAAGATCCTACTCTTGGTACTCTGTTATTCTCTGACAACACCCCCAGGATCCTACTCTTGGTACTCTGTTATTCTCCGACAACACCCCCAGGATCCTACTCTTGGTACTCTGTTATTCTCTGACAACAACCCCAGGATCCTACTCTTGGTACTCTGTTATTCTCTGACAACAACCCCAGAACACCACTCTTGGTACTCTGTTATTCTCCGACAACAACCCCAGGATCCTACTCTTGGTACTCTGTTATTCTCTGACAACACCCCCAGGATCCTACTCTTGGTACTCTGTTATTCTCTGACAACACCCCCAGAACACCACTCTTGGTACTCTGTTATTCTCCGACAACACCCCCAGGATCCTACTCTTGGTACTCTGTTATTCTCTGACAACACCCCCAGGATCCTACTCTTGGTACTCTGTTATTCTCTGACAACACCCCCAGGATCCTACTCTTGGTACTCTGTTATTCTCTGACAACACCCCCAGGATCCTACTCTTGGTACTCTGTTATTCTCTGACAACAACCCCAGGATCCTACTCTTGGTACTCTGTTATTCTCTGACAACACCCCCAGGATCCTACTCTTGGTACAGTACTCTGTTATTCTCTGACAACACCCCAGGACCCCACCTTTGGTACTATTTTACACTCTTACAACACCCCCAGAACACCACTCTTGGTACTATGTTACTCTCTAATAATACCCAAGAACTCCACTTTCTGACAACACCCCAGAACCCACTCTTGGTATTCTGTTACTTTCTGACAACACCCCAGGACCCACTCTTGGTACTATTTTACACTCTTACAACACCCCCAGAACACCACTCTTGGTACTATGTTACTCTCTAATAATACCCAAGAACTCCACTCTCTGACAACACCCCAGGACCCCACTCTTGGTACTCTTGTTACTATCTGACAACACCCCAGAACCCACTCTTGGTACTATTTTACTCTCTGATAGTGTAGCATGTGGTTGGAAAGCTTATATAATGGCACAGTTTTGAACATATTTAGCCACCTTCTTGTATACAGGGTGTAGAAAAATGCAATAGAACAATGTTTTATTTTTATTTTTATCAAACACATTAATTTTTGTGTTTGGATCTATTTACAATGGAGTTTTTACTATTGATCCTCTATGGTTTTCTATTATTCTTATACAAAATTTAATGTTGAACACAAAAATGACAATATCTACTCAAATACTTTTACAGGTAAATGAGAAATTGCGGTATTAAGTTTAAAAACATGATAATTTTTGGAAAACTTAAAATAATTCTTTGGGAAGCCAATTTTTAGACTTGGAACCTCTTATATGCATCATCACACTTAATTTACTTTGTACTTACACCAATAGATGTTTAACACACTGAGTACCAATCACCATAGGTATATTCATTAAGATTATTTAAAAGGATTTTTTTGAACTCTCAAAGTGGTTATGCACTTCTTATTCTTACTATACAAACATAAATAAATAAAAAAAACTATTGGGTTTACAATTCCTTGTAAAGGAATCAATGTCAACATGGGATGATAGTGGGAGGAGTTCATCGACCCAAAATGTTCATCCCCACCCAAAATTTCCTTATTTGCTGTGTCATTGAAAATACATAAATCATCATTAAGATCACATTTCAATGTTTTACTATAAACAGCTACAAAATACATTACATTTTTTGTATTAGTTTGCTTTTGCAGATCCTGTTAGGAATTTAATTAATTATTGTAAAATGTTTTCCTCTTTTTGTCTGAGGTTTGATTAAGAGTTTGAATTTTTGTAGTTGTAGTAATATTCAGTTATGTAAATATAATCTAGGCCTATGCATATATCTTCCTAATAATGTGATTTTTGTCTATATAAGTTGAGAAGATGCAGTCACATATGTTGTACAAAAATAAAGGGTAATTTGACTGTGATGAAATAAAATAAATGATTATTTTTTTAATCTACCAACAAAACTTTTTAACCCCAAAAAACCTTAATATTCCAACTTTTCTTATTTTTGTACTGACAATATAAAACATGGAGGAGAAATGAATGTTGATTTTGTGTGGCTTGATATCTAGTGTAGTTTATTTTGTGTTTCTACAATCTGTTCAATTACTTACTTTTAAAAGAATCGTAGAAATTTCCATTGTAATAATTTTGGTTGTTTCTTTTCAGCTTATGAAGTTCACAAAAGCGATCCTGGGTGAAAAGCTGTTCACGATGATGATGAAAGCTACCTTCTATGGACACTTTGTCGCAGGAGAAGACCAGTACAAAATAGTTCCAACTCTCAAAAGACTACATTCGTTCGGTGTGAAACCCATCCTCGACTACTCAGTAGAAGAGGATATCAGTCAAGAGGAGGCTGAAAAACGTGAATTGGCGTAAGTAAATACTGATATTTACAAAATTTATATCATAGAATATCAAGTGTAGAAAGACGTATTTGACAAGTCATGCGATCATTAACTTGAATGCTGCCCTAGGACATGACAGTAATGAATAACGAATAGTGAACAAATCAATATGAAACTGTGCTAAATTTTCAATAGACTTATTTATGGGCTTAATCAAAAATACTACTGTGTTGTCTATTAATATAGGCTGCCTTGTTGCTTGGTAAACATTGAAAATGGTGTGTTGTGAAAAATTTAAACGTGCAAGACTTACAAGCTTGTATTCAATGGGTTTGTTTTTCTTACATTATGATTGTAACCATTCATTGGTTTATTATGAGAAATTGTATGTCCAGTATATATAGTTTTGAATTTCTGATTCAAATTGTATACATTCTTTATCATAGAGTGTTATGAACATGAGTATTTGAGATGACAGAACATTTTTTAGAACTAGGGAAAACCAAGTGAAATGATGAAGTTTGAAACAAATAAAATAATAAAATAAAAGCTGACCAATTGGCGTGAATTTTGAACAAAATTTGTGCTCATAACTTTTTTTTAATTAACTTCATAGAACATCCTCTTCTTGATGATTGTGATGAGTTACTATCAATTTGAGGATGCAACATTTAATTTTAAGTTACCTGGTTATTTGGCGTTTATTTTCACTGGATCAAAATAAGTATGAATTACAAATAGCTCAAGTTATGTCATAAAAATATTTATTAAATTGTGTTTTATTTGTTGGGTCTTAAATAGTTAGCTAGATGGTAAACATGTCCTCCTGATTATTTTATGGTGTTTTAGTTAAAATGTAATCAAACTTTTTCACGTGAGATTTAGATACAATTTTGGAATAAAAATCTTCAATTTTCTATCTAGATAATGAATTTTTAGTTTTAATTATTGTTTAAAAATCCCTTATTCTGATTCCCCATATGACACATTATACACTGTAATTCTAATCAATACAAATTTGAAACTATAGTGTCCATAGTATATACATTGTTGGGAAAACATTTATCTTTTACCAATACTAAACTAAGTTTTCATGAGATAAGCTATTGAAAAGGAATTTTAAAATATGGTGATGAAGATGAGTTTTTATTGTTATTGGTTTTGTTTATAGACTTTAAAAAGTCTTTGTAGTTGCAGATTTCAGGTTGATATATATTGTATACCCATATAAATAATTTAGTTGTGGTAACAAAGGTATAATAATCAATTCTCAAAATCACACCATTTAATTAATGAATAGGGGCATAATCTTTGTTTCTTTGATTAGGTGTTATATGAATATGCATGGCATTTTATGAAATGGTATTTTGTTACTAACAGACTTAGTCCTGAATGTGCACGCTTAAAATTTACTATCAGAGTATAAAGTGAAACTTTAGTGTAGAAAAATGTTCAACGTTCATTCTTGTTAAAAAAGGTATATAAAATAGTTGAGGACAAATTGTTTGTCAATTTAGTCACGTCATATGTAAGAAACAAACTTGTCTGGATAAACTTTAGAATCAATGTGTTATTTTTATATAGGTTTATATAAGATGTATATTATTTTATGTTTATTTCCGTTTTTTTGGATGATTTTGTTTTTATTCACTAACACATTTACCTTGAAACTTTATTAGCAGGTGTTGAACGACCCTCAAGCGACTTTTAAACTTCTCTTGGCTCCAAAATTAATTTAAAACACGCTATTGTGTTTCAGTGCAAGTCAGTCTGAAATTAAAACCTCTGAAGACCAGCCTTCCGAAGGTATGAGATTCTATTTTTGTTCTGCATAATATTAGTAGAGATAGCTGACTGATGTATATACTGTAGTAATCAAACAACTCGATGTAACTCTCTAGTTGACTGGTTAACTAACTCTAGACTTGTTTTAGTTATGTACATCAGTCTTTTTAGTGTCTAAATATGTTTTAGTTATCAACCAAACTATAATAAAGCAACACAAGATTAAATTATGTAGTCAAACTACTTAATATGCTGGGCAATTTCTGTAGTATTTTTGGATTAAAACGTTGTAGGCATTTTAACTCTTGCCTTAAGTCTTACGGTGTGCTAACCTTTTAGTTTTATAAAAATATTTATCATGGTTTGGATGGTTCATAGAAATAGTTCAAGTGCTTATATTACACATATTTTTGAGTGTTTTTAAATGTGATATGCATTTTTTTCTTTTTACACATTATCTTTGTTAATCAATTTAAGTTTTTCATTCTTAATCTTGTTTGGATGGTTATTGAAATAGTTTTAAGGTTTATAGCGTTTAATTGTTTTTACTCTTTCTAAATGTGGTTTGCATTTTTAATCATTATATGTGTTAACTTATATTAAGTAATTCATTCAAATTCCTACTTCTAATCATTAACAATGTTTTAAAGTTAAATGTGAAATAACTGCTGTGTGTGAATGTTAAATAGTTTTTTACCAAGTTAACATTGAATGTTTATCTTTGAGATAACTGAAGTTCATATTTTAAAACTTTCCCCCTTATATTGGTCACATTCAAAGCTTGTGTATAAAGTTTACTTACACTACTTTACAGATAATCTTAAAAAATAAAAGTCCCTACCTATCTCACAATTTTACTAATTTCTTTGTTAGGTATGCCTTTATTTTTGGATTTTATAATTTACCAAAGGTATAAGTAATTCAGCAATTTGAAATTAAAAATTATAAATTATTACAGTAATAAGTTTTATTTAGACGTAAATTAATGTTCATTTTCCAAAATTTTTGAACACTAGAATGCTTTGATGTTCAGTTTTAGCAAATTTTCCTAGAGGGGCAAAGTTATTACTGTAGTCGTCACTGAAAGACCTAGATCCAGGACTTGTCTACTTTTTCATTTGGATGTCCCCAGAGGTCAAAAACACTATTCGTTCAAATTGTTATATATGTTTATATATGTGACATATTATGTGTCCATCAGTAAACACGATATCTTGTGATTAATTTTGGTCCAATTTAATGAATTTTGGCATGAATTTGTAGAGTTGGTTAAACTAAAATGAGTTGACAAACTAGCTGAATCAGGCCATGGAAATGAAGTATTATGGGCTTTTGAAGTTTTTTCAACTTTTTTTCAAATTTTTACGCTTAAAAATGTAAATGCCTTTATTATATCCATCATGTAGAGTTAAAAAAAAACTATTTTGAATGTGAAAGCAATTTTGTACAATTAAAGGTTACAAAGATAATAAAAAATGTACATTAAAAATTTCCATTTTCTTCTTGGAAGAGTAGTTTGCTTGACGATGGATATAATATTTGATTAAACTTTGGAAATTTATTTATCTCATCCCGTACTATTATCATTTTATCAAAAAATATTTCTCTTTTTTGTAGCAGCAAACTTAAGTGCTTGTTAAATTTAATGCTATTTAAATGGATAATAAATATGACGTGTTTATAGAAATAGGTTAGTTCAGACAAATTGAAATTCACTTAGTCTTAAGGCTTGATGCAGCAGAAGTATTTATAATTTGATGCAGCAGAGGTATTTATGATATATATATTTTATTTAAATTTCATAATTAACTTACTTTTATACACCTTACAACCAAATGTTAACTCATGTTACGGGGAATAAAATAACATGTGAAATGACTATGAAATTAATTTACTATTTATTATTGGAATGTCTATTTTTAAACAAAGAATCAAAACTTGTAGTTATTCAATATTAGTTGGATGGGCTTTTTGTAAATATTGATTGTTTAAACGTTAGCCTTTACTATTATTTCATCATACTGAATAGATATTGTGCGAGACTTTGGTAAGGTTAGTATATTTTATTGATGAGGAATTTATAGTGATGAGAGACATCAAACTATATCTCATCAGGAATGTCAAAATATCCTTTAAAATGCAATCTGTACAGATGTGGTTGTGTACTAAAGGTAATATTTACCAAACTAGTGTATAATTATTAGTCAAACATTTCCAAATCTATTCTCAAAACATCAGTTTTGTTATTATAAACTCTACCTAATTGCCCATGGTTGTGAAGCATATTAAATAAAATCCTCTGTTAGTTGATATGCTGCATACAGTAGTTTAATAATGCTTTATAGTCAGTTTTAAATTGTCTAATTAAAATTTTGGCCAGGTCAAAAAATATTTCTTATGAACTGAATTGAATTTTGGTAAAATTTTTGTATCTGTGGGGTATTTAAATTTAATAGCTACAATATGTATTGTCTTTCAAACCTAAATGATACTTTGTTCTTTTACTGCCATTATAACAATGGAAAATGTTTAGTTGTTAGAAAATATTCTTCCTATATTTGCATTAAATTACTTAAAAACAGTACACACTAGAAAATATTGATTTTCAAAAATCTGAATTTGCCTGAATCTGTCATAAATTGGCTGAAAATAACAAAAAAAAAAAAACATTAAAAACTCTGATTCATCAACTTATGATATACTGTCTTACCAAAATGTAAACATTGCTTATTCACATCTGTCTAGACATCCACTAATTTTCAAATCGGAAGAAAAATTGAAATCATTAAATCGGCTTTAAAAGTTTTGATTGCAACTCACATCTACAAAATACAATTGGCATGCAAATTTGCAATGAGGAAAATCACAAAAAAATTGAAATAAACAACAGTATTTCCTAATATATGTTTTGTTTCATCAGTCAGTTAACAATTTTAGTATTCCATTTAATCAGTTTGAACTTTCTAGGGTCTGGATTTTTGAGAATCTACTGCAATAACAGTCTTAATAATAAATCTTATGATATTTGTACTAGGGTTTATCTACGATTACCTTGGTTGATGTCAGTCCCACCATATTCACTAGAGATTAGTTAAATCACAAGTCAATCCACTAATCCTCACACCTGGATTGTGACTTAATCGCCTTTTTATCAGAATGTTGGTTTAAAAGCTTGTTGAGTTGTAATAGCTAGATAACTCTTCAGATAGATAACACCCATGTCCTATGGAATATGTGTTTAGTGTTTGTAATATTAGCATGGTCATATCCATCTGTTGTAATTGGAATAATGTAGTTCATAAAAATATCTAGTTTATTAATATATGATTTATAAATAAATCAATAGACAAATAAATAATCAGACATTTAAAAATGTTATTTCAAATTTTAAGTCAAAAGTATACTAGATGAATTTTGACTAAGATTGCCTTTTTATGGATACAATAAGAAGGGTAGGGTAGTTTAAAACATCAGTTGACATGGACAATTGTAATTTGCGTAGTTATTTGCTGCAATTTTTTCAGCTCTTTAGGGATTTCAATCTGAGTACAGTAATATATTACCAGTATCTGAGGAACTGACCCATGATAAATTGCAATCGACTATTAAACAAAATTTAAACTAAAATTTGGAATGAAACAAAATAATTTAATCTCTTATGTATGCTAACTGATAATGTAATGTTAAATAATCAAAATTTAACTGAAATAAAAACTCTCATTAAAATCTGTAATTGGAAAAAACAGTTTTAAAAATTAAATTAATATAAATAATTTTAATGATATCTAATTAGGCCTAAACTTTTTAAACATAATGTAGTATGTACATAATGTATAAATTATACATAATGTTTAAACATAATGTAGTAGTACATAACTACATTACCTTGAAAATCGATATACTGAAACTATCCATGGTAGGCTACTAAGAACCACGATTACTAGAAAAATACCGGTATGGATCATAATCATAAACAAATGACTTTGTTGGCCCGAATCCTATAGTAATAGCATTGAACATATGTTTTGGCAGTTCCATTTAATCAATGTTAAATAATGTTTATTTTCGGGCCAAAAACGTCATTTGTTTATGTTTATGATCCATACCGGTATTTTTCTAGTATTCGTGCTAAGAACTAAGAAGGAATTTTTAAGTGATCTAAAAAGTAAGTAATAATCAAATTATTACTAAGTAAAAATTGTTTTCAGTCATTATGTGTATGTATTTCACAAAAATATCTTATATTACATTGTTTTATTTAATGGTCTTTTGGATATTAATTGTGTATGAACCATATCTGAAAGCCAATATTAAACCATAATCTAGATGCTAGTAATTTTAAAATCAAATCAACTTGTGATTGTTTTGATTATAAAAAAAAAACAATACATAATACAACAGTAAGATCGTGAAAGAAAATACTATTAATTAATATTAGACTTGTTACTAAGTCTGACTTATTTTAGATATATGAGGTAAAACTGTACCTTGTCAAAGGTAAATGTTTCAAATATTACTTTTTATAATATTTTTGCTATCGAGAGTTTTACTCGTACAGTAATATGCAGGTCTAAAATAAAAATGCATATAAAATTATTGTATTACGTTTTAACGAAACATTAAATATTAAATATTTGGGTTGAATAAAATGTTAAATCAAAAATACAAGTACAAAATTATAAAGTCAGTGATGAAATGACAAGATCTTAAAAAGCAATATTTATGTTTTCTTGATATATTTGCTTTGCAAGTACTGATGGAAAGTACAAATGAAAACATCTGATACATTATTGTAATTTCTGCTCATTAGTTTAGTATGTAAATAGTATCTATTTATACACAATCCTTGGTTTCAAGAATTACAGCTATGCAAGACTATTTAAAAATCACCATTTGTCTGAATGTAAATACTCATAACACTTAAAATTCCGAATCATATTAAATCCCCATGTGATTAGTTAAATAAAATAATAAATTATGCTGCACCGGGAGGATATTAAAATAATTTTGTCGATGAAGTA